CACCAAATCCTTTACCAGCATCCTGCTTCATCTTTTCCATGGACACCTCGACTTCGGTTTGGAGAAGATTCCGGAGTTCGATGCCCACGACCACCTCGCCTTCATTTCGAGGACCAAGGTCTTCCATAGCAGCCGCCGGTCGCTTGCGAGATGAACCCACAGCCGAGGAGCCAGCGAGGAGATCCAGAAATGAGCCCTCGGTTTCATCTAACTCTGGGTCATCTGCTTTTGTCTGGAAACAGAACGTCTCCTTCGTGCCCACATAAGCATCTATCAGTTCTACTAGAGCGGGACGGGTGCCCTCGTATAGTTTTCCGTTATGCATGACAGCAATGGTATTGCCGTCGCCGACTTTGACTCCCATGCAGAAGGATGCTTCAGGCAACTCCATATGCAACAAGAAGTTCATACTCATATCTGTTGTGCAGCATCGCGTGGGCAACAGGTAGACGCCATCACAGCCGTGCCAGTCGGAGTACTGTCGAATACGGCGAGCGTGGGCTCGTGTGTTTGCGGGTGTCTCCATCCTGAGACGAGCCACCACCACCTCTAAATCCACACCGAGAAAGACCATGGCCGCTGGGATGGAGTTAGGGACGGCTGCCAGCAAGTCCGTATGGACACCAAGACCGGTCCAAGAGGTGATCTGCGTCATGCTGCGGGCAAGCTGCGCGTCAAGGGTTTGGACAGTCTTCTCTTTCAACCGGATTCGAAATGGTGTCTGTCGCATCACAGCATCCTGCAGAAGAACGTCCATGGTCTTACCGGTCTTGCACTGGATGGTCTCCACCATTTCACGCCCTAGCAGCAGTCCATCGAAATGACAGGATAAATGCCCCTGCACTCCATGCTGTTGGACCTCCTCGATCATATACTGGAGAATGTAATCTTCCGCAGACGTCCACCATGAAGAGAAGATGCTAGCCTCTGGCCATGTGTTCTTGGAATGTTGTCGTAACTCGTTGTACTCCTTTTGCATTTGGGAACACGCTAGCCACCGGAGCTGCCTGCTTTCATCTGAAAGAGCATTCAGGAAGCGAACGGCCTGCCCGCCAAGGTGGGAGAACTTTGTCACAACAGCTCCACAAGCGACCTCGATGAGCACTTGCTTGCCAGTTGCTTCGCTGCAATCTAACTCCTGCCGGCACGTATTGGCTCGATCTGCCACCACGGCACGCCATGATGGCAGTTCCACATCTTTTGGCTTGACGAGATCCACAAGCTGCACGACGATGTTGAACATAGATGCGACTATGTCGTAGTCGAGTGTGTCCGGGAAGCAGATTGCTCGAGCCAAGCGCGAGACGCCCTGTGCTCCGACAGTGCCTGTCGCGTATCGACGACATCGAGTTTTTTGTGGATAGTAGTACTCTTGCTGGAAAACGAGACTCTCGCAAGCATGACTTTGCTCCCGTTGCGAAGCGTCCAGGGCTCTGGCAACCTTTGCGAAAATGCTATTCTCACGATCAAGGGTCTGAAGAAGTTGCTGGGCCAGCTGCGCATCGTCTGTTTCTGCATCCAGGCGGCGCCGGGGTGCCCCACGTTTCTTGCCTGTGCCCTCTGGCTGATGGCGCTTGCGGTATAACTGCGCCAGAATCTTCAGGTTCAAAGTTCTGGATGAACCCGGCGCGAGTCGTCGTTGCATATTGGACACATCATACTTCTCCGGGAAAAACAGATTTTCGTCGAATGTCTGGGGCACTGCTTCCTCCAATGGCGTTTCAAAAGAAATCATCGGCAGATACACCTCACATTGGCCGACCTTGGGCAGAACTGCAGACGTTCCAATGAGTTTGCCTGCTTTGGCAAGCCTCTGGATATATGTCTGAGCGTTTTGCTTGTTGAAGTCGAACACATACTTGTTCTTGGCTACTTTGAGCTGCGCCACAGTAAACCAATCTTTGCGCTCTTGACGAAGCCATGTGCAGATTTGTTGCAAAAAGGCATCATCTTCCTTTTGCTGCGCGGTTCGATCCTCATCTTTCTTCTTCCCCTTCTCGGCCAAGCCTGTCAGTATTTCCTGGATCGGATCTTTCGTCACTGTTTCTTCCACAGTCAGTCCGCAACTGCGGCGAACACTGGAACGCGTCAGCCCTTCGTCCCCGCCATGCACGACATATTGCTCCAGGACGTTTCGGCACTGCTCAGCTGTCTTGCGTCTGGCGTAATTCCAGATACAGCGAAGCGTGACGAGACAGGCCGGCTTGTCCCGGAGAAAGTCCTTCAGCGTGGGATCTCGCGGAAAGATGCCATGTGCAGCTGCTAGTTTTTCCCTGTCTTCCACGTCTGGAAGCTTGGCCATGTCGACGAATGAGCTTTTGAATCTGCAAACAGCAGTGCGCCGCATGATGGAATCGACGTTCTCTTCAGTCACACCGCTGAACCTGAGTCGATACAGGAAGATGTGACGCTCATTTTCGATGCAAAAGGGTATCAACATCCTATACAGAATGAGTCGACACTACAGCTGACCGAGGAACTTGGGCAAGGCATTCAGCTCGAACCGCTTCCACCCGCGAAGTTCCACTAAGGCTGTTTGTATAGCATACGGAAGTCTTTCAGGCACCTTGTCAGCCGAGATGTGCTTCTTGTAAATATCTTCTCTCATCGGCCGGCGAGAACCTTGCACACTCTCCTGCCCCGTGACCACGATTTTGCCGACGAGACTGGCCGCCTGCTTCCGCATCTCCTGACACACAGCAATGTCGATCAACAACTGAATTGAACGCAATGCTGCACAGCCCTTCTATTCGACTTCGGCGTGGCCTCGTCCACGAAGTAGATGTTCATATCCAGGCACGAATGGTACTGCCCGAGTATGGCTTCCAGGTGAGCTGTCTGCAGAGATTGGCCGACGCCGCCGGAGCCGAGTCCCCAGAAGGCGCGGTCCACATTCTCGCCCCGAAGAGCCAAGGTCAGAGATGCCAGAAACACCTCGAATGCGGCCGCATTCCCCCAGTATGTAGTTCTCCAGAATCGTTGCACTCTTTCCTTGACGGCCTCGCTGAGTGGGTCCAATATGCGGTGGGGAAGGAACACGTAGATGTTGTTCGTAGCACTTTTTCCCACGACGTTGAGACCATCCACATCAAACAAGAAGCAGGCATCCGACGTACAAAA